GTAGATGATCAGGGTAGCATTAACTAAGCATACACTTTAAGAGTCAGCAATGGCATTTGGAGTATGATAGGCATTGTTGTAGCTATCACAGGCAAGTTAGCTGGATGGTCATGAGCACTGGAGCTTTCTGTTCAGTCTTAATTATATAAAGTAGGACTTGAGGCTATAGCAGAGGCCACGTGAGAGGACACAGGCACACGATGCATTTTCCATCGCTTTTGATAGTTGTTGAGTGCTACAATAATGGCTGCTATCATGGCAGTCTAGTCTGATGGGTATGACCCACTTTCACAGGGTGTCCTGGTTATGAAGTCCAAGTCCATGTACCTAGCAAACAATAGGGCAAGGACAACTTTCTTCTCTGCAGAATTTTCCGTTGGACTCAGAGGAAATGAGAAAGCATAAAAGAATCCTGCCCTGTTCCATGCCTAGGTACCATCAACTTTAGCCCAGAAAACAGCCCTGCATGCCAGAGGGACCTGGGCTTTGGCGAGACAGGAAGCATCACTGACCTGCCTGCCCGAGGGACCTGGACTTTGGGGAGATTGAAAACATCACTGATGCTTGCCCTGGAGAGCCTATTTCAACAGAAGCTTCTAGCATCCCTAAAAACAGGGTATAAAGCTATCCACACGGACATGAGTTTCATCTTGGTTTTGCTGTAGCCCAACTATGCCAATTTGGACAACCCAGGTCACTGCTCTGAGACTATTTTTATGTGTAAAATGGGAATGATAACAGCTAATTCCCAGTTTTTGTAATTGTAAAAGGTACTTTATAGACAGTTATAAGAAAATAGTTACCACCTGTTTGCCTTAATTTAACCTGTAATTTTCTTTTTTCGTTTGTTTATTTATTTGTTTTTGAACCTGTCGTTGATACTGTCTCAACCCAGGTGTTTTGAAGAATTGAACTTGCATTATTTTTAACATATTGTTTACTCAATACTATGTCAATTAATTCCATAACATTGTATATTGTTGCTGATGTTTTGTTGGGGCTTTTAACTGACCAGGACTTTACTCTGTTAGCTCTACCTTCAGACCAGAGGAGGTCTCCCCAAGAAGCCGCTGAACTTATCTCGACAATAAGAATCTGGACTCTATGCTAGGTATATGCTTGCAATGAAGGAATTTCAACTGAACTTGATCTGTGGTTATGCAGCAAGGGGGAGGAATCCACCATGGAGGGAGGGCTGTGGGAGGGGTGGGGGAATCCCAGTGCCTATGAAACTGTACCACATAATACAATGTTATTAACAATGAAAAAAAGAAAATAAATAGTTATCAGGGCAGTTTTTACCACTAATAAGAGCAATGAGCCTTCCTGCGTGTCAGATGACATCTGATACGGCACTGAAAGGACATTCAGATGGCTTTTATCACCTGGCTCTGACAATAGGTGGTGTTTCTTTCATCTGAAAAAACCCAAGTACAGTTTGGGGTTTCTGAAACACAGTACTTAGAAGGAAAAATGGTACCTGTTTAATCTTCTAATCTTCTACTTTGTGGCAGGTGTGTACTGTGCATCTTGGGGCTGGTTCCATGACTCAACAACCTAATCCTCCACCTTTAAGCAACCAGCATCCCATAAGAGTGCAAGTTCATATCCCAGCTGCTATACTCCCCAACAAACTCCCTACTTATGGTCTGGGAAAGCAGTGTGGAATGACTCAAGTCCTTGGGCGGTAGAATGCCAACATGAGAAAACAGAACCTCTATTCTCTGGGCTTCAGATAGGTTTAACTCCAGCTATTGTGGCCATTTGGGGAGAGAGCAGCTGGAATACCTTTCCTTCTGTGTCTTTCCTGCTGTGTGTAAATTTGGATTTCTTATTTAAAAAACAATCCTAAAAATAAACAAAATAAAACAACAAAAATTGGGCATCCTCCTTCCCCAACTGTTTATGATGTTAGTATAGCACTTCAACAACAGACACAAGCCCATCATTCTATTTAAGTGTATCCTGACACTGCAGGTATAGACAATAGTAGAAAGTTCAACATTCTATTCATATATTTAACAGTTTTATTATGAGTTCATCTTTTACTCAAAAGCAGAAATGCATACTGCGATGTATCTGCACTTCACCGTATCCATGCCTACACTATACATTATCTAGTGTCACTGACCCATAATCAGGCACTGCTAGATCCTGCCCAGCACAGGGCCATGCTGCGCAGGCACCTATCCAAGATTCATAGGCCTTGACTTGGCAAAAACTTTCTCGTCATCTCCTAAGCAGATTCTGACTCTGCCCACGTGTGCTACCTAGGGTTGAATTAGGAATGAGTGGAAAGACTTAGGCCACAAATACCTGATCACACTCAGATACCAAAACCAGCCAGTAGTGCAAACAGGAGTAAGAACACGGTCTGGGCTGGGTTGACATAGTCAGAGCCCAGCATCCCCAACATCTAGTTATTCTTAATGCTGACTGAGATCTAAGTCTGATCACTTGGGGCCACTGGTCCAACTGGTGCTGGAGTAGGTCCAGATGCCCCATCCATAGACACTCAGCTCAGTCAAGGACCCTGAGGGTGACCCAGTGTTAGGTTCTCAGACATATTCCTATGCTCACTTACTAGCCTGCCCCTCCAGGAGCTAGGCCATTGCTTCACAGTGTCTACCCAAGGCTGACAGAAGTGGAATGGAGACAGTCCTTGTGACATCTGGATAATCTAAATTAATCAACATAATTTTCAGGGAGGAGATTGGAGGCAGTGGATGTGGTACCCTGTCCTGCACTAGTTTCCCTACAGCGGGTCTGGTCTTGGATGTCAAGGCTAAGATCTTTATACATTTGTTTTTCCCTCCCAAATCAAGAGAAACCTGTATGTTTTACCATGTTGACTTTGAGGAGGCAATGATGTTTTCGTACTATAACTGGTTTCTGTAGATGCTACCCTGCTTCCTTAGCTCTTGTAGGGTTAAGAGATACATGGAAAGCTGTTCAAGCTGATGCTTCTCTGAGGAAATGATCAGTGGAATATCTTATTCAGCAACCTTCTGGCTCCCAGTCCTCTTTTAATATATTCAAATTAATGATTTCTGATTATGAAAATAGTTCATATTGAAGCTACATGTTGTACTATAATAGACTTGGCCACCACTAGGAATCAACCATACTGTTTAGGCAAAGGTTCAAGAACAACCTGCATACACCTATTCCTGTCTAGATCCCTACTAAGGTACCTAAGAGGGCAGCAGAAGATGGCCCAATTCCTGAATCCCCTGCCACCCACAAAGGAGGCCAGGGAAAGATTCTGGATTGTTGGCATCAACTAAGCCAAGCTCTGGTCATCATGGCCACTTGGATAGGAAACTAGAGATGGAAGTTATGTCTTCTGAAAAGTCTCTTTCTGTAACACCTCCTTTCAAATAAATAGATGTTTACATGGTACATATTCATTTTAAGCATTTTAGAAACACACATGATAAAGAAGTCAAATGGTAGAATCCATAACATACCATCTAGATAGAACTATACATATTTCAATATTGTGTAACAATCCATTTTTAGCTGCAAAAGTTTTCCTTACCACAATATTGCATTTGAATTTCATTATTCTTACCAAACTGTTCTGCAATAGCTTCGTAATATACCTGCTACTGCACATTCATTTTAATTTTGTGTTGCTTCCAGTAACAATGCAAAGACCATATTTAAGACCTTGGCAAGGATGGTTAGTAAGCTAAACCTAAGGCTATGATGCCAGCTTCCAATATAGGCACCAGTTCAATTCCTGACAGCTCTACTTCTGGTACAGTAGAGGCTCTACTACTGCCTTCCCAAGCTACGTGGGAGACTGAGAAGAAATCCTCGGCTCCTGGATTTGGTCTCTCCCACCTCCTGCTCCTGTCGTACAACAATTTAAAATGGGAACCAGGGAATGGAAGATCTCTCCTTCTCTCTCTCTCTCTCTCTCCCTCTCTCTCTCTCTCAGTGCATATGTGTGTATGTGTCCATGTGTGTGTCCGTGTGTGTGTGTGTGTGAGATTCTAATCTGTACATTGATCTCTCTAAATGAAACAAATCTTTAACAAATGTTTATCACCACCTTTAATTATTCCTTCAAACAAAAATGCAAGAAATCGATTTGGAAATGTTATATTAAAAGACAAGTAAAACATTCTCTGTCATGCATTTTTAGCATAGTCTGTGTTTATCATTCTGCTTTTTAGGTTATTTTATTGTTCATAAAACACTTTATTATTTCAGTGATATTAGTTGGTATGCTTTTCTTCATTATTGATTCATTTATCCTGAATGGTGTTTACCAGCTTGACAAGGATGCATGCCCACGTGGACCACTGACTGGGGAGAGAAAGGTAAAACAATGGAGGAAAATGGAAGAGATAACTGCTCCCAATCTCCCATTGTATTCTTCCTGTTTCTTATTAAATTGAAACATCTTACATTGCATGATGTGCTTTATTTGTTTCAAGACAATCAGAAAGACTTATCACATATTTAGCATTCCCCTGACAGCCACAATGCCTGGTTGTGGACAGGCCAACACAGGAGGAAACTCAGTCTAGGTGGGCCACATGGGTGACTAAGGGAGCCATCAGCTACCACTTCCCATGGTGGGCAGCAGCAGGAGGAATTTCAAGTCGGGAACAAAGCAAACACATGATTCCAAGCACTTTGATTTTGGATGCAGGTGTCCTGGGATATATCTTAACCACTATGGCAAATTCCCTCAACTGAAAAAACATATTTCTACTTATGAAAAAGTACATAGGATATGTAATAGCCTCGACGAAGTTGTAAAGTGACAGAGAAATATAACACTTCTTGGGAAACTCCTATTCCTACAAATTGAATGTCAATGAAGTTTGAGGAAAGAAATGGGCCTATGTAAGCAGCACAAATGTATACTACTACTAAGAATGGAGGGTAAGAGGATGGTCCCCATCAGTAGTGAACTTCAGAAAGGTCCAGGAAACCTTGTGCATCAGCCATGCTTAGCCAACTGAAGGGCAGGGCCCTTTAAGAGGCCATGACACCCTCCACATTCTAATACTGCTATGGCAACTCCAGATTGTTACCTGCCACTGGACCCTCCCTCCCACCCTCAGAAACATCACCACAGGCAGTGGCATTCACTTGGGGCTCTGGCAACTTCATCCTTGTTTATCTGATTAAGAACTCTCATTTATTGAAGGGCACAAAGTGATTCTCTACAGTAAGTTAAGGGTGACAGCTATTGTCATCCATGACTCCTTCTTAATTAAGCTCTTTGACTTTGTTTGTTTGAAACATCACGTGCTGGTTTCTCTAAACCTAGATCCTGGATTAATGATTGCCAGAACCATCAGCATGGCAGCATGTTCCAGTGCTCCAACAGCTCCAGGGATAGAAATGAACCTCCTAGAACACCAGGTCTTGAGCTCCAAGCTGGCCAACACTCAACAAGAGCTTGAAAATCTCAAGGAGAAGCTTCTTCCATCTGAGCCTACTGCCTATGCCCTGGACAAGCAGCTACAAAACACCGTAAGTTCTGGAGGGGATGGGTGATTGTCTTTTTTTGAGAAATGAGATGAGGTGTAGGTTATGCATTGGGGCTTGGGTTAAAATCCTTGTTACACATTCCTCTAGCAGACACAAATGTGCTGGCTTATCACAAGAACAAGTGGAATGCTCTTGTGTTGGGATCCTCTGTGCACTGCAGGAGATTGTGTAGACATGTAGTATCATGGTGGTCTCCATGGCAGTCTATTCAATATTGGAAGAACAAATGGCACAACATTGAAGGATAACACGGATCAAAACCTGGGTGGTCTCCACATGATCTCAGTTTGAAAAAAAATGAAGAAGTTTGATCTTCTCTGACACACAGAGGTAAAAACATTGATGATGTGCAAACAGCATGATTGGGGAAGTCCTACTCCTGGAGCCCAGGTTTGTCTTCAGACTCCTGCATTGTCAGTGCAGCCCTTGTTTGAGGGTGTGCTTCTGGGACTTAACACACTCTCTCAACATCCTCTGTTTCTCCCTTAGTGAAGACACTTTGGGGATGCAGGATGGACAGCAGGACCAGGTCCACCTTGACTCCCAGGAACACAAGGGCATGCACAACAGGTGGATAGTGGCATCTGTATGATTATGAGTCAGCCAGAGTCATTTCTACAGTTTTCTTATAAGAAGAACTCTTGAGGGAATTTATTCATTACTATGTTTGAATCAGAATATAGAAAAAGTAAATAAAGAAATGTATTCTGAGAAGAGATAAGCTCTATTTGACTAATAATCACTATTTTCAAAATCTCAGTAGAAACACATGAGAATGAGAATGGTTTTGGAAGTGAAAAAAACACAGGTAACAACAGACTTCTTTTCTATGCTAACACTGTGCAGAGAGCAGGAGTGCTGGCTGGTCTCCTGCTCTCTGGACAGGTTTCCATCTCCTCTGGGCCTCAGTGTGCTCCTGTCTCTATATCTTGTAGAAATATCTCAATATCGTGCACCCACATCTCTGAGCCAGAGTAAATTCATGATGTCATACAGAATTAATGGGACACTTCTTGTGCATAGGATTGAATAGTGTCTGACACATGCTGGATTTTCACAGGGAATCAATCAATTGTTCTTTCAGACATGTGTGGTCTAAAGACATAATATATTTGTGTATACACATGGGTTTTGCTTTGTCTTTGATATTTTGGTGTATGTATTTTGCAATGTTTGCACACAGGCCCTTCACCGGTATCATCCTCTGGTGTTTGCCAGGAGCCTCATGCCCAAGCTCAGCGTTTGAATTGCAATGTGTTAAGCTGGTGAAGAGGCCCAAGTCTCACATTCTCACTGTAGGGGTTAGGGTTGGCTCTGACAAACACCCCTTGTATCATACTAGGTAGTTTCTTCCTGGACTTTAAGCTTCCATTTGCTCATCTTCTCCAGGTGATCTACTAATTCTATATACTTGGGTCAGTGAGAAACAGACATGGAAGTTTGTTAGCAGTGTATGTCCAAGCTAGGATGGACCCTGGTTCCATGGCCAGGACCTCAGCAGCATGTGCAACACTCATTGAGTCAGGTGGGTCTGTGTTTTCTCAGAATGTGAGCTGTGCAAAGTCATCATGCAGCCTGTGCTGGGGGAGAACATCCAGTGTGAGGAGGAGCAGCTGGCAGAGAGCCCACCTGTCACCAAGAGGCTGAGGTAAGGACAGGCAGCAGGTTCAAGCTGAGGAATCTCTGGGGTGGGCAGTGTAGCCAATGTGGCTGGCAGAGCTGCATTCTTTCCCAAAATGACTTTTTCCCAATTGCTACAGTTTTCCGGTTCTGTTAGGGCCATATGGAGTGTTAACAGAGGGGAGATCACTATGTACAAATCCCCCTTCTTTTTCCCAGGAGAAAGAAATTTCTGCACATTCTTTTGAAGGCCTAACAGCCAGTCCTCCACTGACTTCCAACTGTGAATCTTCCCTTCTATTCCACATTAGGGAATTCAATATCTCACTCCATCCTCACACAAGACAACTGAGACAACTAAAGCAGAAGCCACAGGAACAGAGAGATGCCTCCATCTTACTCCTTCAGCATCTCAAAGATCTGCTCACAGTGGACAGCCCTGAGAGCTGCTAGAATTACAGCAACAGGGATCCACTTTCTCAGGGACATCATCTGGCAGAGCACCGTGCCCACAAGCTCAGCCAAGGTACTGTCCGAGGAAAGGAGGGAAGACCTGCTAGGACAGAGGCTGGGGAACTCCACCCTCTCCTTCCTGCCTGAGGGGAGGATAGCATTGGAGCAGGGACAGTCTGCAGTGTCCCCAGAGGGAGGCTGTGACAGGAGGAGCTTCCTCGCAGGGAAGGGACCTGGGCTATCCAGGAGGGCTCCCAGGTCTGTGCTCACACTGACTTCAGAGAAGGCATTCAGTGACTTCCTCTGCCTGCATTTCTGGTCTGTCATCTCCTCAATGGTTAAAAGCATGCTGCATAACAGTTGTAGCAGTCAAACTGGAAGTATTTGTGAATGTGCTATAAGCAGACAGAAGTCACTCTCTGGGGCTGGCAGAGAGATAGACGGGGTGGGATCTGAGGTGAGATGTTGGATGCTGTACAACCATGAGCCTTGATACATGCATACATTTCTCCCTGACTGAGCAGACACAGGTCTATGGGGTGTGCATAGCAGAATGGAGAGTTGGATGGGTGCTTTGTGGGTCAGGGCAATTCTTTCTTTCAGGAACAGGAGTAGGTTTTCCCTGAGAGGCATGTGGGAATATTGAGCTATGAGCCTGGGACCCAGCTGTGTGATGGGAAGGGGGATAGAGCAGCAACCGAGAACAGGGCTAGAGAAATATTTCTTAGGATGGCACCATGTGCCCCTTTGAAAGCCTCGCCCAGCTCTATGGCAAGGAGCTGTAGGATCTATCAGATGATGTGACTGTGCTGAAGGATGAGAGTGAGTATGTTTGTTCAGAGACAAACGTGGAGCCTTCTCTGGTCACAGCCATTGTGCTCCTCTAGGTGGAACTGCAACTGTCCAGTGTGTGAGTGACTGTTTCTGAATTTGTTTGTAGATGTTCATGACCATCTGAAAGAGCAAGAACAACGATCCCTGGCATTTCTGGCCCTCAGGTAACACACAGGGAACAGGAGGAGTCATGGACAGGTGAAATGTGAGAGGTTCTGGGAAGGAACTGCTGTGGGTTCAGAGGTATCCACATTCCTCGGGGAGCATGCAGACAATCTGCTGGCCAAAACAGCTTCACTCCCTCTGCACGTCTACAGCCTCTGTGCTCTCTGGAGTTGGTGCCTTCTGCCTGGCCCTGAGTGACCTATCCTGGCCCTCACACTGCAGTCATTCTCACTACCTTCGGTGAAGTTTACACACTGAGTCAGGTGCATGGCTTTCTTCTGTATGGTTCACCTTAGCTTGTCAGCAGGTGCTCATTGCTGGGAAAGCCAACAGGCAAGGTTGTTGTTGCTGCCTTCTCAAGGGTGGAATCAGAAACCTGGACATCACTGTGACTCTAACATCTCTAGCAACACAGGGGCCTGTGGTCACTCGACCATGCCTGTCAGTCAGGTGCCTAAAGAGATACAACAGGCAGAACTCAAAATTCTGAGTCAGAATCACACTTGGAAGGACTTTGTGGATGCTCTCACTCATCTTTGTCAATGTCATCATCACTATCATTACTCCTGTTCCACTCTGGACATTTCTGGTATCCAACCTAGCAAATTCTGATTGTGTCTTCTGCTCTTCCTCATGTCTATAGTGTCAACAGTGAGCAGCCTGAGAGGCAAGTGAATGATGTCCTATTAGATTCATCAGCTAAGAGGTATTTCCCACCTTATAATAACATTATGTCTATGAATTGAAAGACCCTCTCTGCATGTTTTCTGCTCAATAATCCGGAATTCAGGTGTCCCTTATGTGGATGCAATGGGTATTCACCAGAGTGCAGGCCACGGTCCCCTTCCACGCTGAGAGAGGAGATCATGCAAGAGGCATACAGAGTTTTAACAATGGAGAAGGAACAAGTCAGGGGAGAATTTGGAGGTCTTCACACTAGTGACACCATTGATGGAGTGAACCCAGGACAGGATGAGACCAAGAGATTGCTTGAATGCAGATGCTGACAATCTGATAGAACAGAAACAAAATGCCAAGGCATGCGTAAGGAAAAGTGAACAAGCAAGTTGAGAAGGAGGTTGTATGCAGGGGCTGGTGAGAGCAGCAGCCAGGAGCAAAGAGCAGGCATTGTAATACCTCACGGCTGTGCCTGCCCTGGCTGGAAGGTGGAAGTGGAACTTCCACTGAGCCTGTTTTTTCAAGAAATGCCCTCAGCTTTGTATGTCAATATTACTAACTTGTCTTGAACAGCACTGCCCAGTGTCCAGTGGAGGTGTGAATACAAGGACTCTACAAGTTTACCCTGCTGCTGGCCAATTAGTCTTAGCAAGGGGACTCAATTCTTACTCCTGCAAACATCCACTGTACCCCAATAAAAAGTGCATATGGAGACAGCTGATGAAAATCACATACAGCAGAAAGCTCACAGTTTTCCCACGCATTGAGGAGCTCACTTGATCAGTGGTCCACGATGACACAGCTCCCTCTTTCATGGTATTGTGATCTTGAGACCCTTGGCAGCAGACCACTCACACTTTCCCGCTGCTTCTGTGCAGCCACCTGCAAGTTTTGATCAGCAGAGAGGACTAAGGTAAAAAAAAAAAACACATATTATCATCTCTTAGCTCTATCGTTGCTTTCATTGCATATTCTTTTTTTGCGTCTTATGAAATTGCTACTTATAATATTTTTTCCTATTTCTACTGTGGTTTCTGCTACTATGTAGTTTTGTAGCTACTTGGAGTCTTCAGCTGTTACATTTATTACTTTGATTAATTTTGAGGGGAGTATTCCTTTCTGTGGAACCCAAGGACAGTTTAAAATTCTTACATGAATTTTCATGTTTCTCAGAGCATTGTTTTATGAAGCAAAAAGAGAAGAGGTCAAGTCTCTAAACAGACAGTAATGACTAGGAGATCAAGATGCTAATCACCCCAGCATGACCAGTACATATTTCATACATATGACAGTATCTCACCATACTCCACTAGTACATGAAACAAGGATAGTAAAACTAAAAAGATGCATCCCAGAAAATAATGGTCAGAATGATTATGTATAAAATCAACACAAATGGGAATGTCCCCACAGACATCATCACACCTTTGTACATTCTAGACCTAGGCCGACTTCCCTCTCTGTTGTCCTGCTAGTGTGGACCAATATCACTTCAGATAGGACATGCACACCAATGGGTCTGAGGGCTGCAGTTTTCTTTTCAGAACTGTGATTGGATGCTCCCTTTCTATTGAAGATTCCTCACAACCTGCAGGGTGATGCTCATGAACGCTCACACACTAGCAGCCACGAGTGTCTTGTCTTTGACCACCTGATGATGAAAGGAAAGCTGCAATCAAGGAAAGTGGAAACCATCGTGCAGAATCCCAGTCTTCCAACCTAGGATGCAGAGGTAATCAGTCCTTTGTTCTTAGATTCACTGGTAGTAATGCCCTTAGTACTCTCCAGGTGAGTGACATTGCTCCTCCTTCTCTCTGCTGTCTCCATCAGCTGATGCAACCTCTCTCTGGACTTACCCCGGTGGCCCATAGGCTGCCACTCTGCCAGACCCTTTCTCTACATCTCCTGTTGTCACCTTGACCTCTGCTGTCTTCTCAATTCCGAGGCCAGAAGTTCCTCTGCAACTCCAGGCCACAGCCAGCCCCACTAGTGCTCATTTTCATCCACATAGCAGCCTGAGAAGTGAAACATTATCATCTCGTCTACAATCATACACTTCCTTTTCCTTTACTCTCCCTTCCCTGGTCCTCAGCTCCATTGTCTCATTCCTCTGAAGGCATTGACTTCAGAAATCACTAACCCACAAACTTACTTTTGGAAGTATCCCGCAGGCAGGCACTTTGTTATAGATAGGAAGCAGAAGTAAAGTCCAGAGAAACAAAAATATTGTGGGTTGACTCTGTTCAATCTCAAATCCAACCCTTTACTCCACAGAACTTCCTGGTTCTGGCTATTGAGAGTATTCTTAGAAACACCACACGGCATAAGCATTTGTAGAATCAACTGCAAGGATTTAGGAGAGAATGCTGGGCCAGGGTTATATTTCCTACTCTCTTCATTCCGTTTGAATCTCACCTTTTCTTTCATTCTGAGGCCCATTTGGAGGAGGTTGAAAACACACAAGCATGGTTATTAGGGTCTCCGAATATTTCCTATTGCATGGTAGGCAGATTATATCCTTCAGATTATATCCTTCAGATTATATCCTTCCTCCAAGCTTTATGGAAGTGACCTACATACAGCCTATGTGCAAACACTAGATTATCATTAGCACACCATGTGGCCCTGAGTAATATCGGCTCCATCCTCCTCTTTCCCTAAAGTCAGAAAGGAGCTTGGATGGTGTCTACAGTCCCTGCTGACTTTCTTGTCTTCGGTTTCTGCCATGGCTTGTCCACACGGCCCTCAGAGACTAGGAGGTGGAGCTGAAACCAAGTTTGTGTTTCTGAAAATCCTCTTCTCCCTCCTAGAGTAGATGCTTTCTGGGTGTGCACATTGGTAAGTAAGAGCATCCCTCAGAGAGAGGTAGGAACAGACATGCAAAATCAGCAGGAGAGTAGGTGATCCCACAACCAGCATGTTGAAGAAACACAACACTTTGACATTCCATGACACATGTGAGGTGTAAGTTCAGTGAGTGTCTGCTCTAGTTTGTATCACATGCTGTCTGAACAGGCTTGAGGCACTGTCCCTTAGACCTTCTTGTCCCCTAGAGCTCACTTCCTTGCCTGGCCTCAGTCACACTGACAAAATGCCCATCTCACGTACCATAGTACCTGCAGAAGATTCTCATTTGGTTTTTCTCTTTTTCTCTCAGATACCAAAGATTGCTGCAGTTATGAAAGGATATTGCAAAGATATATACCCAAATGTGCTGCAACAGTCAAAGAAAAAATATAAAAAAATATTGCAGATATATATGCCCAAATGAGCTACAACAGTCAAAGAGAAAAAAAAATAACACAAAACATCAATGCAAACAGTACAATAGAAATGAATTTCAATATCACATTCCACACTTAGCAATTGATATTCCCACAGGCAGGTTGGAGGAAGGCCATCAGAGTCCATCAGCCTCCACCTGGTTAAACACCTAAGCAGACCAAGGCCCAGAGCCTCAGACTGTTGGGAGTCTTTAACTCTCATTGCCATCCTGCCAAGAAGCAGCATCAAGACCAGCTGCACTGTGACAACAGCCCCACTGGACATGCGCTGTCTCCACATGGGATGCTGAAGGAGCAGTCAGGAATAAGGATGCAGTGCTCTTGATGAAAAGGTTTACCTGGAGGGAATCATGAGGAGATGACCTGAAAACAGGAGAATATAGACCATTGATTGAGACATTTGACTTGACATGTCTTCTTCAAGGTGTAATGCAACAAAAAAAGAAGAGAAGGCTATTTTGGACTTAAACAAAATATGAAAAGTGACTGCTGTGGTGCTTTAGTGACTACTGAAACAAATGCATTTCCTCCTTTTTTGTTGCATTGATGGTCATGACAGGTCAAATTTCTGGCTCAGTGGTTTATATTCTGGACTTTTCAAGCATAGCTCTTCATGATTCCTTTCAGGTGAGACAGTTAAGCAAGAACACTCCATCCTTAGTCCCAGGTGCTTCTACCCCGGCCCATGTGGAGGCAGAGAGTTCAGTGTGTCCATCGTTGTTGTCAGTTGGTTAGGCAGGAGACTAACAGATGTGTCCTTTGGGAAGTCACACCGTGGTGTCCGTGATGAAGAAACCAGGGGAGTGTTCAACTGAGAATATACAGCATCTCATTCTGCATTTGTCTTCCTCTGACGACTTTAGAATTTATCAGACACCAATGCCTGTGGTCATTCAGATATTTTGTTCATTTCTGGCATTTGTTTGGAATCAATACTAGCTTGAGTCTTAGATTGGCTGGTAAAGTGCTTTGAACAACAATATTTACTTTCAAAATGTTAATGCAAACCAATATTATTTACACTACAAAAAATAAGACCAATTCTCAAACGAGAATTTGAAATGTATTCCAGATTGTCTTCAGCTATGAAAAAGTACATTTCTTTCTCAGAATTTTCATATGAATTATTATTGTCATATGCCAGCAAAAGAACTCTGGTCTCTAGAAAATTCACCTTAACCAAAATGGTCTTTGACTATGAAAAAGAAGCTCATTTGAACAATTGTAGTGTTAATCCTAATCATCATCTCGCACAAAATGCAACTTTCCTTTCTAGAATGTCAACCATAACCAAAACTTCCTACAGCTATGGAAACCTCTGCTCTCCCAAATTTAACTTCATTCATGAAAATTATCTGCTGCCTGATAACAGTTCTCCTTTCTTTCAAGCAATTTGACCTTGACCAAAATTTTCTACAACCATCCTAAAGGACACTCCTTCCAACCCTTTAAATGTTAAGCAAAACCATACTGTGTGACAAAGAACAGCTCTCCATTCAACAAGCTTCACCAATTTTTCCAACAGTTGTAAAATCTGCTCTCCTTTCCAGAAATGTCCTGTACATCCAAATTGTCTTCTGCTGTGAAAAAAACTCTCCTTTCTAGTTGTCGTACCTAACCAAAACGATCCTCAGCTTTCCAAAGAACACTGCTTTCCAATGTTTGATCACTAATCCAAATTTATTGTGTGACAAAAACAACTCTCCATTCTAGAATTTCAATCTTCAACAATTTCCTACAGCTATCAGAACTGATTTCCAGAATCTAAACATCACCCCAACCTCTTTTCAAATATATAACAATCCTTGCTCCATGTTCAAACTTGACCTTAATGTTCTTCATGTGTGAACAAGGACACTCATTCCAAAAATTGTGATGTTCATCTAAACTTTCTTCTATTGTAAAAACAATTCTGTTTTCTAGTATTTCAACATTAACTACAATTCCCTCTAGTTAGGACAACTTCTCCTGTTTTCCAGAAATTCTGTGTTAATCCAAAGTATGCTCTACCATGAAAATGACTCTCATTCTACATGTTCAACCTTTACTGAAAAGTTCTTCAGCTCAGGGAAGGGACACTCCTTCCTAGCTTTTTAATGTCCAGCAAAATGTATTGTGTGACAAAGAGCAACTCTCTTTCTAGAATTTCAACTTAACCAAAGTTTCCTATAGCTTCCAAAACTTGTCTGCTCTCCTGGAGCTTAACTTTAACCAATATTTTCTTCTGCCATGAAAACGTCACTCCTTTCCAGAAAGTGATGTTGATCAAAACGCTCTGCTATCACAAAAAAAGTCCATTTTCTGGAAGGTTTACCTTCACCAAAGTTTTCTTCAGCCTCCAAAAGGACACTCATTGCCAGAACTTAATTCATACTCAAGATTTTCTGTGGCTTTGCAAAACAACTCTATGTTCCAGATTTTGAATGTTAATCTACTATTCTCATATGATTTAAAACTAGTCTGCTTGCTGGAATTTTATGTTGACTAATATTTTCCACAATATGACAACATCTCTCCAGATTTTTAACTTTAATACAAAATTTTCCTTGACTATGACAAAACATTCCCTTCAGGATTTTCATGTGAACCAAAACTTTCATTTGCTAAAAAAAAAAGTCCATTTTCTGGAAGGTTTACCTTCACCAAAGTTTTCTTCAGCCTCCAAAAGGACACTCATTGCCAGAACTTAATTCATACTCAAGATTTTCTGCGGTTTGGGAAAACAATTCTATGTTCCGGATTATGAATGTTAATCGACTATTCTCATATGGTTTAAAACTAGTCTGCCTGCTGGAACTTTATATTGACTGAAATGTCCACAATATGACAGCATCTCTCCGGATTTTTAACTTTAATACAAAATTTTCCTCGACTATGACAAAACATTCCCGTCAGGATTTTCATGTGAACCAAAACTTTCAATCGCTAAAACAATAAATAAATAAATAAATAAAAACATAAAAAAATTCTCTCCTTTCCATATCTTAGTCAAAACCAAATTTTTCAAATATAAAACCACCTCTTCTTAATTTTTACTTGATACAACTTTTCCTCAACTATTAAAAAGAATACTTTTCTCAGAAATTTTAACAGTAAAGTTTTCTTCTGGTTCAAGAAAACAATTCTGATTTCTAGAAATTTAGCTTTCACCAAAGCTTTTTTTAGCTGCAAAATATAAATACACAACTTTCTAGAAATTGATACTTGTCAAATTTTTCTTCTGCTTTGAAATACAAATTGATTTTATTGAACACCATTAAAATTTCTGATTTATGACTTTGGACTTGCAGTGTTTTTATTTGTTCAGTTCATCACCATTACATAGTCAATTTTGAGAAAATTGCAAGCCTGTTGGGGACTGCCAGGAGAAGGCTGGGCTGTAGGGATGTGAGGTCCCACAAGGGAGGCTCGGGAGAGAGAGGACCAGTCCTGGCACACCTAGGGCTGTGTTGCTGTGACAGCTGGAAGGGGAATCTCCCCTTGAGGCACAGGTCAGCCTAGAGCTCAGGCAGTGACAGAGGAGAACTACCCTGGCCATTGGCGCAGCAGATTGCAAGAGAAATCACACTGGACATAAGTGTAGAGTGTTAAGAAGTGTATTCACTGGCAATCTAGGCAACTGCAGCTCCTGCTACATCCAGGAACCACGGCACAGTAAGGGATATTAAAGCACTCATCCTTCAGTCCCCTTGAAATCTGTGCAGTACAATATTTTGGAACAGTACAAAACAGTTAACTAAGGCAAGAGGCAGGAAGGTAGCTGCTAGAGCCCCAGTGTTTCCCTGTAGTTAATTAACCTAAAGTAGCATGCTAGGAGGCAGGAAGGACCAACTATCAAAAAATCTCATGCCATTTTCACCCCGTCAAATATAACGGACACATCTATTCAATCAATTAACCAGGGAAGCAGGTCCTATCAACTTGTTGCACCCCATTACATTGGCTGCTGAAGATGGTTGCCACACACAGGTACTGAAGTCTGTAGAAATCAGAGTCCAATGAAGAATTGTTCATGATTCATAATGGGTCTTTACAGAGAAAAGAGAGAAGTTCTAATTGTGAGGGTGGAGCTCAAGGGTCAGTGTGTGCAGTGCTGACCCAGCCTGTGATTCCCTGGGCTGGTGCTGCTGTTCAGCTCCTCACCCCTTTCGCATCTCTTCTCCCAACAGCTGAAGCACTTGTGTCAGTCCCAATGCCAGAGGCTGGGACGAGTACACTTTTCCTTTCATGTCCCTCTCCAGGCTCATTCCTGCCTGGGACAGAGGAGGGAAAGGAGCTACATGTCATATAGTCTGGGGTTTCAACACGTCTAGCAGTCCCTGCAAAACTTGCCTGTACGTGTAACTCACCACAGAAGAAAAGAAACATCCTAAGCAGAGGAGCTGGACAGGGAGGTGAGGGCTTCCTGTGCACCAAGTGTCAGAAGAGCAGAGGGAGCTCAGGTTCCCAGCACTCAGGATCCTGGAACAGACTCAGCCTTGGGGAGCATCATGCCCAACAGCACCCCAGCACAGCTGACACTCTCATCCCCTCCCATCACTGTCCACAGTGCCTTCCTCTGGTGTGGGGAGCAAGCCTGAAGTACCACGTGCTTTTACAGCACAGATGACAGTACAAGAAGGACTCCGGCAATGACACTGGAGCAATGAAAGCATTTTCCACTGAGCAGAAAAGAAACACTGTGTTTCCACCAGGCCTGGACCTGGTGGGCAGTCCAGGCTTCCAGAAGAGCTGCTTCCCACTTGTAAATGGCTCTGCCAGCTCCTTTTGTGTGGGTCGATTTTGGTACAGCCTGCTTGACCCAATGGCACATTGAAGATCAGGATCCAAGGAGACAGCTCGGCCCAGTTCTGTGAGCTGGAGGACAGAAGCCAAGGTCACTGGCCCTGTGATGGGAACCTTCTGTGCAGGGAGCTGAGGACCCTCGGTCCCTTGTGGAGGACACACAGGGAGCATCACCATTGTTACCTGTGATGCCTGCAAACTCTGGGCAGGTCCTGGTATAGAGAAGGCTTAAAGGAGGATCTCAGGGCTGAGGGGGCAGGACTTCACCATTTCTTACAGAGTGAACTTTCCTTCTGAGTATCAGCAGAGCCTGGGAGTGGCAGCTGCCTGGCTGTAATATCCGCATCTACAGGAATGGGAACTTGATTGCCAGTTTGGCACAGCTGTGCACACCTGGCAGGGATAACCCAAATTATCCACCAGCTTGGGGCATTTGGGTGATCTCCTTGGACACATGGCTGCTCAGAGGAC